TATGAAATCCCCGTGTCTAACAGAGCCCGTAACAGAATATCGTTCACGATAACGCTNTTGTAATAATATTAGACAGTCTGGAGTAGAAGTGGCAATTGCCGTAAGCGGCAGGTTCTGTAGCGGAAGCTGATAGACAAACTGGTCTTCAGTTTTCGCAGATAGCATCCTTAGCAAGAAAATTGAGGTTTGGTCCGAACCACCGTAGTAACATTTGTCTTTCACAATCGTAGAGGTTAATGCCAGCGTAATCGGACTGTTCTCTTAGGTCTTGGTCAGTAGCGGAGCGTCTGAAGGCTGATTGGAAGTAGATACGGAGGAAGAAAGCGAACACATTGTATTGCCGATGCGCCTTGTTTTTGTTCTAGGCCATCTGTTAAGTCTGAAGTCAAAGACACACTGGCGCAGAGCATTCGATATGAAAACATCACGTGGGTTCTGTTTGGCCGTTACAAACAGGAAGCAACAATCGTAAAAGAGCACCGTTAACCGACCGCAGACCGGTGGGCACAACTAACGATTCGGACCCGAACGGAGCCCTAAATCGACACACCCTAGCCTGTGTTCTGCACGAACGCGAAGGGCTTACTTGGTAAATTTCGCGATTTGCAGCTGCGCTTGCAAACTGGCCATCGGGAACTTCTTGTCATTACTGAAACTTGGTTTACGACTGATATTCTTGACTCTGAACTGTATCTACCTGGAATGCCACCGCGGATACGTGATCGTACTATACGAGTTGGCAACGTGCCGCTGAAATCTTAAATATGACGCACTTGATCTTATCTGTGCGGCCCCCGACAAACTTTGGTGCACTTTGAGGCTGTCCGAAGATAGCAATCTTTTGATCGGCGTCACCTATCGCTCCCATGTATCCTCATGAGATACGCATAGTAAAGTCCAAAAATATTCTCGCAGTGAGAGACTCTATTTGTCCCCATCTTATAAAATGCCAAGACTATGATCAACCTTTTGAACGACATTTAGCATGGTTTATTGACTCAAGCCCAATTATGAAATCGCTCGACGAGAAGCCAACAATTACTTTTAGATGTGCCATTTCTCCAATTACTTCTCTGGAAAATGTGACTGTAAACAAATGACAATCACGTTTAGTGGTCAATTGCTGAGATTTTCCTTGCTCGAGTTTACTTTTCCTCTTATGATTTGCCATAAGCTGCTACTTGTTCGACCCCAAACATAAGCATCATTGTCTTCGGTGGTATGGAACCCTTTTGTGCAATCGATCCGTTTTGCCCTCGACAGTTACGAACACCTGATTCCTGACATTTTCGTCTGAAGATGAGTGTGTACCATTGATTTGACCAAACTCTCTGTACTCTGCTCNAGAAGAGAGTGTACCAGGGGGGGGACCAAAGGGTCTGTACTCTGCTCACGACCGACTCATGTAAACCTCTGACTGAATCAGTAACCTGCTTGCATCTCTGCTCAATCAAACTGTATGTTCGCAATATTTGTGCCGACTTCCATCGGGTTATATCCGTCCTCACTCCGGGTACCGGAATACCTCACATTTGTATTTCGTATAACTTTGGAGAACTGAGATATGCTCATATTTCAGTTAAAAATTGTACACCGGAGAAAGCATAGAAGTATAGAGAAATCCAATAAAGTGCTGTGTAAAAAATGTCTCCGAAGTTTGATTCATTCAATTAAGGATTGACGTTATTGATTTATAACTCGTTCCTTGCTGGTCAAGGTTCAAACCGGATAGGGTACAGTGGAGTTTTTATAAA